ATTTCCTTTGATTTGGTGTCCGATTCATAGTTTTTGGTGTTAGCTTGGCGATTTGATCGCACGAGCAAGTTCGTATGATATTTTAGGACTTGGGTACATATTTGATTTGGAGCCCCTAGGGCTCGGGTTGATTTCGGGTGATTAACGGAACATTTTTGGACTTGGAAAAAACTGCAAAAATCTGCTTCTGGTATCCTTCTTCGCGTTCGCGAGAGGTGGCTCGAGTTCGCGAAGAAGAAACTGGAGGCAGGTGAAAATTACTCTTCGCTTTCGCGAAGAAGGGGACGCGATCACGAAGGAAAGAGGGCAGTGTTCACCGCGAATGCATGGAAGCGTTCGCGTAGAAGGCGAGGCCTGGCCGGGCACCAAGCATTAAAGCTTCGCGTTCGCGTAGGGTGTATCGTGTTCGCGAAGGCCAAATTTGGCAAGGCTTCACGTTCGCGACATTGCCTTCGCGTTCCCGAAGAGCAAAGTTTTGGCAGCACAAAAATGTGCTTCGCGAATGCGAGGCACTGACCGCGTTCGCGAAGGGTAAAACTCCGAGAAACAGAACTTAAGTTTTGGAAATGGGGTTTCAACCCATTTTTAATTCTTTCCCATTTTTGAGCACGGGTAAGGCGATTTTTGGGAGTTTTTCACGGAAAAATATTGGGGTAAGTGTTACTTATCCTATATTGTTTATATTTCATGATTTTATACTCATTTATATCATGAATCCGTGAATTTATGGAAGAAAAATCAGATTTTTATAAAATCTTTCAAAAATAAAAATTTAAGATATGAAGGTCCATTTGATATCGGAATTGGACAAATTTGGTATGGTTAAACTCGTATCGGAACGGGTGTTCAGATTTCGTGAGTTTTTTCGAGATTTGAGATATGGGTCCCACTGCCGAATATTTTAATAAATTTCAAATTTTTATCCGGAAAAGTTGTAAATTCATATGGAATTAATTCCTATGATCCATATTGAATATATCGAATTGTTTGTGAATAGATTTTAAGCTTTTGGAGGCAAATTTAAAAGGAAAAATTATGGTTGAATAATTGATTGGAATTTGCAAAGCGAGATAAGTGTCGTGGTTAACCTTGACTTGAGGGAATAGAACCCTTAAATTAATTATTATGTGAAATACATGTGAACGACGTATAGGCGAGGTGACGAGTGTCTATTCGTCGTCAATTAATTGTTTGCATAATTACTTGAAAAATTATAAATTATTTTTAATCATAAATTAATTATTATAATAATTATTTCTCTCCTATTCTTTGCCAAATATTAATTGTTGAATTCCTACATTAATTGTTGCATGCTACTCGAATTATGTGTTTTAATTATTATTTGATATTTATCATATTAAATATTAAACTGCCTATTTTCTCCCTGATTTCTATGATAATTTACTATTTGATATTCTCTATTTCATGAATAAATCATAATTATTGTATGCTTGTTGTCTTACAATTTCATATTAACTGTTGCATTTATTGGAAAAATTCCTTCTATAAGAATTGGTAAATGAATATATTGGAGGATCGGGTTGCACGCCGCAACAGACTTATTAAAAGTCTATATTGGAAGATCGGGTTGCACGCCACAACAGACTTATTAAAAGTCTATATTGGAGGATCGGGTTGCACGCCGCAATAGATTTATTAAAAGTCTATATTAGAGGATCGGGTTGCACGCCGCAACAGACTTGATTAAAAATGAATATATTGTGAGAGCGGGTTGCACGCTGCAACAGAATTGATAGAAGTGATAATTGGTTATGACTACTTTGTTGGCTTCAATTATTATAAATGAGTTACCTGATTTATTTCTATTATTGTTGCTATTACTAATATTGCGTACAGGTAATGTAAGTGACCCGCTTTAGCCTCGTCACTACTTCGTCGAGGTTAGGCTCAGCACTTACCAGTACATGGGGTCGGTTATACTGATACTACACTCTGCACTTCTTGTACAGATTTTGGAGTTGGTCCCAGCGGCGTGCCGTAGACTTGCTCGTATTGCAGCTATTCAGAGAAGACTTGAGGTATAACTGCACGGCGTTCGCAGTTCTGAAGTCTGCGTCTACTTTACTTTAGCTGTGTGTTTGTTTCCAGACAGCTTTATTTTATTCAGACCTTTATTTGTATTTATTCTAGAAGCTCGTGCACTTGTGACACCAATTCTGGAATGGTATTTAGTCACCGTTGTTTTGATGGATTATTTTACTATATTTCAAACTTTGCTTCCGCATTTGTTCCCTTGTTATTAATAAATTTAAAATTATTTTAAAAATGGTTAATATTATTCTAACGTTGACTTGCCTAGCAAGTGAAATGTTAGGCGCCATCACGGTCTGAAAGTAGGAATTTCGGGTCGTGACACATTTCACCAAAGTTATTTTTCATACATGATCTTCAAAAGAATGGTGATATCAATGTGCAACATATTCGTTCAAGTAATAATATGGATGATTTGTTCGCCAAATCTCTACCGACGTCAACCTTCAAGAAACTAGTGTACAAGATTGGGATGCGAAGGCTCAGGGATATGAATTGATGCTCTCATCAGGGGGGAGTTAATACGTGTTGTACTCTTTTTCCCTTACAAGATTTTATCCCACAGGGTTTTCCTTGCAAGGTTTTTAACGAGTCAACCAAAAAGTGTATTTCTAAATATGTGTACTTTTTTTTCTTCACTAAGATTTTTTTTCCCATAGAATTTTTTCCTAATAAGGTTTTAATGAGACACATTATTTATGGACATCCAAGGGGGAGTGTTATAAGAAAATTAAATTATGGTGGATGTCTACTCTTCTCCATTATCTCCATAACTCCCAATACTCTAATAATTATGGAGTTATGATTATAACTCCATAATCTACTCCATGATCTTCCTCTCAAATGTTTAATGACATATTCAATGACATATTTTGTAATAGTGATTCTTCACTTTTCATGCCTATATAAAGGCCTTGTAATAGATAGGAATATATACACACAATTGAAGAAGAAAATCTTTCTTCTCTCTATCTCTATTTCTTATTCATGTTTTACTAAATTGATTTTATTTCATAACAACATTTCTTGTTCATATTTTACTAAATTGCTTTAATTTCACAACAATAGGTACTTTTTACCCTTTGCCCATAGTGTGTTGGTATGTATACTTTATCCATACTCCACAGTGGTGAGACGACACCACCGGAAAATTAGTTTAAAAAAAAAACCTTACTTAGCCTTTGGGGACCAAAAACCATCCATGGCTTCCGACGATTCCCGCGAAAAGAGAGTTGAAGAAACAACTGTAGACGACCGAATCAGTGAGTTGCCGGAATCTCTTCTCCTTCACATTCTCTCTTTTTTGCCGACAAAGTGGGCATTCGTAACTTGTAGATATATTAAATTTGTACGAAATTTATTTTTACTTTGTATGTTATTGTACCATACAAATTTATATGTTGTTGTCGTCACTTAAAATATCATTTATCATGTGAATTTTTTTTATTTCATTAGTAAGTGGTGTAATAAAATAAAAATAATATTCTATTTTTACTAAATAAATATCAGAAAAATAAAACAATAGCAAAACTAAATCAAATAGTCTATGACGGTGACAACTAAGGAAATATATTTACTTCTCTTCCGTTTTGTCATGCACTTCCATAAACTACAATAGTATAAAATACATAAATACATTTTCTTAATTTATCCATCAGATTCCAACTTTATTTTTCAACTACAATACTGTTTAACGATGCTTTGCTTTTTCTTTTGTGTGGGGCGATTTTTTGAAAAGAAAGAAAGAAAGAAGCGTTTTGGGGGTAGTCCGTTAAACAGTTGATTAGGAGGAGTACATATTTGCAAGACAACAAAATGAATGGTTAAGAAGAAGTATGACTGCCACCTGTTATTTATTTTGTGCTTAATCTAGTTTTAATTAATTTTTGGCAAAATGGTAAAGTGCACAGACTAAGTAGAAAAATACTGGAACAAAGTGATCATTCACAAATTTTATTGAGAGAGAGAGACGATGAGAGAGAATGATGAAGAAAGAAAGAAAAACAGATGAGAGAGGCGGCACTGAATGGGAAAGAGGAGAGGAGAGAAAAAAAGAAAAAAAGATATAATTGAATTTCCTAATTTAAGACACTAATAATGGATTGTATATAATTTGTAAATAATTCTTGTTTAGGATAGGTAATATACAAAACTAGTACAATTTTAATAAATATATTTCAAATATTATATAAGAAAGAAAAAAAAGATTCGCTCCAATGAGATGGGAGACTATACTATTAGCACATTGATTTGGTGTACAAGAGTAGGGTAGCAAAGAGTACATATAATTCATAGTCAAATTAAGGGAAAAAAAAAGATTGTCACTCCACTGAATTTTCTTGTATACCTGACCCGTAGGCCTAAACAACCCAATTCGATTAACATTCTGTTATTCGATATTTTGATTTATTTTCAATGTGGGATAAATAATAACTACCACATTTTATTAGTGTAATGCTTATACTCCCTCAGTGTCGAATTATCTGTTATCGTTTCTAAAATTGTTTATTGTTTAGTTGCCTCTTTAGTTGTTTTAAATTAATTGTCATTTTAAAAGTTCAAGACTAAATTAATTATTATTTTTCTATTTTACCCTTAATATTAATTATTTTTGAAGATTACAAATAACGCAATGAGTAAATATTAAATAAAGAAATATTATATATTAAAATATAAATAAGAATAAAACAGCCAAAAATCACTGAGATTTAAACACGTCAAGATAATTTGGGAGGGATTATACATTATCCTAAATTTAATATGGGTATAGAATCCAAATCTCAATAATCAAACGGCTCCTTATTTGCATTATTTTCTGGAAAAAGAGTTATCCCTGTTTTTTTTGTTTGTTTTTTTTTGGTTACATAAAAGAGTCATCCCTGTGTGATTAAAAAGACAGAGAACCAGAGAGTTGACGAAACGATTCCTCTTCTTTTGGAGTCAAAATCATGGCTTCGGGAAACTGCAGCAACAATTCGAAGAAACAGAAAGTGAGAATCAATAGTGCTGAAGAAACCCTAGACCGACTCAGTGAGTTGCCGGAGTCGCTCCTAATTCAAATTCTCTCTTCTGCCGACAAAGGATGCACTCACAACATGTATTCTTTCAAAAAGGTGGCAGTATCTCTGGACTTTTGTTTTGAAATTCAATTTCACTTGTAGAAATTACAATGTCAGTGAACTAGAAAACTTCCGGTCCTTTGTTGACTATGTTTTAGCTCATTCCGTTTCTCCTAAAATTAAAGCATTCGAGCTCGACTGCCTTGACCTGGATGAATACGCGTCAGAAGTCAGCCGATGGCCTAGTTTTGCTGTTGAAAAGAAAGTGGAAAATGTTTTATTGTGGTCACATTCTGATTACAACGCTTGCCCATTGCCTGAATTTTTCTACACCTGTTCGTCCTTGAAAACATTAGTTTTGACGGGTTGCGACTTTGACGATGACATGGTCATAGCATGGAAGTCTCTAAAGAGCATGACATTGAAGTATATGGTGTTATCCAATTAACAACAACAACGACGACCTAGTAAAATCCCACAAGTGGGGTGTTATCCGATTACCATATTGTGAAATTACTAGCAGGTTGTCCTGCATTGGAATCTATGGAGTTAGATAGAGTTGAGGGTTTCCGTCGCCTCCAAATTAATTCTTCAAAATTAAAGAGACTGAAGTTGAAAGGTTATGTTTATGAAGGATTTGATCATTCATTGTAAATTGTTGCCCCGTTCTTCAACATTTGGAGATTTCAGGGAAACTTTATGATCTCAAGTGTAGGCTTGTAGATGTGTCCTCCATGGTTAATGCTAAGCTTACTTTCAAATTAAGTGTATCAAAGATATGCTGGCTCTTTATGGTGAAGTTAGTGATGATGCGGAAGACAGTTGTTGAGACTATCATCAAGTTTTTAGGACCCTCGTGCAAAATTATCTTCAAAGGTTGGCTTGTGCAACTGAGCTAACAATCGGAACTTGGCTCATAGAGGTTTTCTTTTTTAATTCAAATGTCTTTATTTTCTCTGATTGATTATTAGCAGACAGTTGCAGATAAGCATAATACAGTGGAGAACCTTTGCACAAATTTCACAAATCCAACTGGGTTAATTACAGCAACATATGAAGATGGATGAGGGGCGGGCCCATTATCCATCAAGTTTAGAACCGTGGGCCTCTAAAGATTGTGATTTCTTGGTTCTAAAAAAATAATTACAGAAACTTGAGGCCTTGTGGGCTGTTTTGGAATCCGTTTGTCAACTTTTTGAGGTCGGTATTTATTTATCACATCACCAAATGGTGTATATGGAAACCAGGATTTTTGTGCATTGATGTTGCTTAAAGTGTTTAGATGGTTTGATATGTCTCTGCTGAGGAGTACTTTATTTTTGTTGTTGTTGTTGCTTTCTCCATTCTTCACTAGTTTCTTTGGCATTATTGAACCATGTCCTGTGCATGTTGCAGTTCGAAGGAGTGCAGATTCCTGAATTGAAATGCAAATATCTAACGTTAGAGTTGAATTTCAGAAAGTCTAATTTGTATGGAGTAGTTGGCATATTGCGAGCGTCGCCTCATGTGGAGACACTCAACTAAGGTCCTAGACCCTTTTCTCTTCCTTTTACATCTATTCATCTTATTAAGTTTCAACAACCAGCAGCCCCCTTCTCCCGGTTGTTTTTTGGGAGTAGAATGCAAGTCTTTAATTATCAGTAAGAAGCTTTGCTTTTGTCATGTCAAGCTTCGCGTTAATATGGTTTGTGTTGACGTTGCTTTCTATGTGGCAAATGAGTGCTGAAATGAAACGGATTTCCGTGCTATCACTCTTTTGTTGGCTTACCTACGGTATAAATCTTTTTAAAAGGAAAGACCATCATCTATGAAATTATTTTTGCCACATCTCTGCAATTTTATCAGGCTGACCTGCAGTTGGTTTTCTTGTCGCCAATTTAATAGTTCCCGCTGCCAATTTGAGTTAAGACATTTGGCCAAGGAGATAATACTGATTTGGATCGTTGGACTTCAAGCTTTGAGTTTCCCAACCTCAAGAATGTTAAGATTGCCATCTCCTGCGGGCTGTGCTTGAAGGATCATCCTGAATGGACCTTTGACAAGCTTTTGAAACTTTCAGAAATTCTGTTAATGAATGCAAATGTTTTGGAGAAATTCGTTGTCATATCAAAGGAAAAGTGCAAGAGCTGTTCATTGAACTGTGTGTCCCAATATTTATTTCGTTTGAGCGAGAAATTTATTGGTTACCCAAGATCCTCTACCAACTCTGTGATTATTATGTTCCAGGAGTGAGCTTCCCGTGACTAGATTGCAGCTTGTTTTCTGTTTCATTTTACCAGAAATGTTACGGAGTATATTTATCTTTTGACTTAAAACATTACTGAATCTTTGTTTGTTGCATTCAAGATGTTGTACATGTGTTTCCAGAGTTCTTTGCTAGGCTTGTTGCCCTAGATCAGTCAAGATGGGCAGATCAACAAGCGACACATTTTTTTGATTATTAGGCTGATGAAATGTATGTTTTGCAACCTTTGTCCATGACATCAAGGTATTATTTTCTCGGAAGGAAGATGTTTGTACTGTTTGTCGATCTCAAATGATCTGTAGCCGATTGTGATTGAGGCTTACAAATTTACAATGCAATGTAATGCTTTTACCTGAAATTGAGGTCATAATATAGGACCACTCCATTTGATATATCTGTTTGCCCGATACGAATTTGCTCAAATAGCTTACAAGGGGTTGTTAAAGATTATGGAACAACAGCTTTCTTGACAAATATCATGCGAAAGAGTTACCGTTGCCTTTATACAAAGTTGGTTGAAGTAGCCGGCCGGTTTCACAATTTACTTTTCCTAGCTGGTATACATATATTATACACTGATTATATATGGTCATACACATGTTATACATATATTATACATTCGCCGGCTAGTTTTTAGTTTAACTAATTGAGTGGGCTGCTATTTAGGTTAATTCTTCTTTTTTTAAACCCCCTAAATTAGCCTTTTCTCCCAGCAGCTTTCATTGAATATTCTGATGAAAAAACAAATCAGAGGAATTTTTAGCATAGCTGACATCTCGCAATCAATTCACAACAACAAAAAGGTCTAAATTTGACCTTCTACTATATCAAATATTTAATTTTATCATTCCTTGTACTTCTAATTGAGAAAAATGTTGAATTTTAAGAGGGCAAAAGAATGGGAAAGATTATTTCTAATATGGTAGAAAATGTCTGTAATTGAATGATATGTCAAAGCTGCTCATGTTTCATAAGGGCTTCATGTGTTCTTTCTATTTCAGGGCAGCAGCTAACATGCTTTGCTAAATTTCATCTCTGTCGCAATAGTTGTTGGTGATGGACATGTTGTTATTTTATGCAAACAGTTATCTTTAATTTTCCTAAAAGAAAATAAGGCGACATTTCTAGTATGCGGAGAAACTAAACCACTTGCAGTATAGTCATGGAAACAATCAGAAGAAATTGGTGGGTGATTTTGACCAATGAATGCGCATATACATACTTGGTCTCACATGTATTCTCACTTTCAAATTTTAATTACTAAGCCTAAACAGGAGGATTTGGAGCCGTATCCTATATTTGTGCCACATTTTAACATGTACCCTATTTTTAAAAATTATTAATTTGGTAGTCAGCTGACAAAAAATTCGTAATAATATGACAATTACACCCCTGACAAAAGATATAAAACCTGCATCACGCATTAATCATGTGATCTGCAACCTCATTCGCGGAAAAAGATCTCCTCCTCTCCTCTTAGCAGCTTTATCAAAAAATTAGAAACTTATCCAGATTCATTTTCAGAATCACACTTGCATGAAATTGTTTCACGTTGAAGCTAAAACTTCATGCTAATGTAGCATTAGGGCTGCTTATCGGGCGGATTGGGCGGTTAATTACTCTTAACGGTTTGGCTTAACGGTTATCGGCTTTTAAATGTATTAATCCGCTAGCCACCCGATAAAATATCGGGCGGATTGGTATCGGTTTAGCTCTTATCGGGCGGTTTATCGGCCTAATTCAATCTATATTGCGTGCATTAATTGTTTGCTGACCGCCTAGCATACAAATTCAGAATAGAAAATTACACATTGAGTCCAGACATACATGTCTATTAATGCCTACATAAGAATGATGTAGTATGTCATGTGTTGTAGAGTGAAAAAAGTTGTGGCACAACACTGTTGTTCTTCTATTAAACATAGCCAACAAGCATTAGTTTAAAAAAAACAAAAGCAGAAGTGAACCATAGACAGCAGCTTAAACAATCTTGTTGTAGGGTGGGAGAATAAGCTAAGCTAAGCCAAGCCTGGGATCTTCTGATGCATAGTACGTAAGGGTTCTGATTATTTAGGAATTAGGTTTTAGAACTTGGAGATGGAGTACTGGAAGAAGTGGAAGGGTTTTTGATATTTNTTGTTCCCCGTCCGTTAAACCGTTAACCCGATACCAATAAGCCATTAAGCTTCGGTTTCGATTCAGTTTTCGGTTTCGGTTTCGGTTTTGAATACCCCTATGTAGCATGAAGTTGTTTCATTTTGAAACTAAAAACTTCATGCTAATATAGCATGAAGTTGTTTCACATTGAAGCTAAAACATCATGCTAATGCATGCTGAAGTTATTTATACTGCAGTCTACAGTTTTGTCATGAGTTTTATCCGAAACTTCAGTCTAAACATGCTGAAGTTATTTAGTTCATTTGCTAAAACTTCATACTAAACATGCTTAAATTTTTTAGTTCATTTGCTAAAACTTCAGACTAAACATGCTTAAGTTTTTTAGTTCATTTGCTAAAAGTTCAGATTAAACATGCTTAAGTTTTTCAGTTCATTTGCTAAAACTTCAGACTAAATACGCTTAAGTTTTTTAGTTCATTTGCTAAAATTTCAGACTAAACATACTTAAGTTTATTAGTTCATTTGCTAAAATTTTAGACTAAATATGCTTAAGTTATTGTTTTATAGTATGTAATTTTCTAATGAGTTTTTGCTAATGCATGCTGAAGTTATTTAGTTCATTTGCTAAAACTTCAGATAAAACATGCTGAAGTTATTTAGTTCATTTGCTAAAATTTCAGACTAAACATGCTTAAATTTTTTAGTTCATTTGCTAAAATTTCAGACTAAATATGCTTAAGTTTTTGTCTTGCAGTATGTAATTTTCTAAAGAGTTTTTGCTAATGCATGCTGAAGTTATTTAGTTTATTTGCTAAAATTTCATACCAAAACATGCTGAAATTTTGTAATGCCGTCTACAGTTTTGTCCTGAGTTTTATCCGAAACTTCAGTCTAAACAAGCTGAAGTTTTATAGTTCATTTGCTAAAACTTCAGCCTAAACATACTTAAGTTTTTGTCCTGCAGTTTGTCAATAGTCTTTTATTAAAGAAAGGCAAAATCGTCTTTTTAAAATGCTTTTAACAAAAAAATAGATACGGATGCAAACGGAAAAATAAAACGGGTATAAGTTAAAAAGGGGCGACCAAATAGGGCGGTCCATGCAATTTTTACGGCTAAATATAGTGGTGTTCAAACCGAATCGAAAAATCGTATCAAACAAAAAAGTTAAACCAAACCGATTAAAAACTCGACTAGTTTTGGTTTGATTTGGTTTGGTATTAAGTAAAAAAACTCAAACCAAACCGATATATAAATATATAATTTTTATATATTCTTTTAAGACTTTATATAGAATTTTCTTTAAAAAACATATAGAAATATTTGGGATTCTCTTATGGGATGTAATATTTAATAGAACTATTAAGTGCTCACAAGTTTGCCAACCAAACCCCTGTACTTGTCCAGTTTTGTCATGCCGGTGTTCTACTATGAAGTTTGCCAGCCAAATCCCTCTACCCTTAAAAACTGAGCATTTTAAACCCGGCTCATCGTATGTAGTATTTTTTACTGAAGTGCGTGTGCTACACTCGTTTAAGAAGCGTGAGGCCTATTAAAAAAGGCACCAAGAGCCACTTTTTGGCTGTCATCTTCTTTCTGATTGTTCATCCTCCATTGTTGAACAAAAGTGAGCTTTTCTTCTTTGCTCTTCTCTCTCTCTCCAATATTTTATGTCCAATTCTTTTTTTTTCCTCTCTCTCTCTCTTCAATATTTTCTGTCCAATTCTTTCTCCCCTCCCCTATCTTCTTTGTTTGTTTCTTCCCTCAAATCTGAAACTTTATCATAAATTTAGAATCCTTTGGCCAATAATTCAGATCTCTTTTAAAATTCAATTATATGCCCTTTTTGTGAAGAAAAACACATCAAATTATCAAAATACCAACAAACCAAAAAAAGGGTCAACCGAAAAATTCTCAAAAATCACCACACCTCAAAATTAACCCATAAAGGATTTTGAAGCACAAATTATACATCTTTACCAATTAATCCTTTAAAAAGATTAGAGCTTTTTGAGAAAATTTAACCCCAATTTCAAAAATCAAACAATGCAAGACTTGTTAAAACTGGCTTTAGCATTTCGTCGAACACCTGGTGTCTGTAATTCTGCAAATTTTGTTTTTTGAATTGTTGTGACGATTGGTTTATTGTAGTTATTATTTGATCATTTGGAATCAATCACTTGCTCAGTTGGAGTCAATTGGCATTGGTCTTGTTCAATTTGGACACATGTAGCTCCATGCTCGACCAACTGGTGTTCGCCGGCCATATTCAGTTCGTTGGAGGAAACTATCCCGTCATTGAAATTGTCTGAAACATGGTGCGCCGATGGTATTTGAAGTGGAGAACAATCACCACTGCTTGGAATCACTCTATTTAAAATAGAACCGATATGATAAATGTCAGTTTTGCCCGGTGATTTTTCGCTGCAGTACTCGATCCACCATTGTTGAAATCTGCAGTAGCTTGGGAAGAAATGAGAGGGGCGCCTAGGTGGGGTTTATGCGCAATGGTAAGACACATCTTTTGGGACTGGTCCGGTGGCTTTTCACCACTGGACGATGGCACAATGGCCATTTCGTCGTTGATGTGTTACTGTTCACAGCAGACGCCCCATTTGAGGGAGGAGATTATTGGATTAATGTTTGAATTTTATTTTTATTTTTATTTTTGATTTTAATTATTTTTAATCTACCATGTGACATGGCATTTATACATTGTTATTTTTTGACGTGGCAGCCAACGTGGAGGAGATTGTGTTACACGCACTGACAGTCTTCGGTCATAAACGTTTATTATACACGGTTTGAAGGAGTGTAAGTGTTCAATTGATAAATTGTTTAGTCTAGGGACCGACATGATAAAGTGGTACAAGTATAGGTGCCATTTAGGCCATTCTGCCCACTTTAAATAATGGGTTGTATCATCACTTTCTTATCAAGTGTTATATATTGAAATGCATCAATCTCTTTGTTCTTCCATATTCATATGTCAAGATCTATTAAATTCTTATATCTTTTTTCGAATTTGAAATGGTATTTCGATAATTTAAAATTAAATAAAATATATCATTATTTAGGTATCTTATTGATTATTATGTTTAATTATTAAATTCGGTTAACCTTAAAAGCGTACATTAACGAAAAACTATTATTAGACGACTAAGAAAATAATTATCATGTGTTAATAAAAAAAATTCTTCCATAAGAATATTCTAATAGATCATATGTTTTTCAGTTTTTTTTTTTAATTTTTTACTAAACATATATTGTATTTAACTTTAACAAAGTAGATTGTAATAATATTCATGTAAAAAAAAGAACCCAAAAAACCGGACAAAACCAAATCAGTTCAAATCAATATAGTTGGTTTCGTTTGATTTTGATAAATACTGAACCAACCTTGCCTATGTACACCGATTAAATAGTTTGATTTGGTGTACACATTAAATGCGAGTATGCATTTACTTTCATTAAAATCGGCTAACAAATGCTAAGGTTGTCCAAGATCATCCACCAATTTTTTAATTTATTCCTTTCCATGACTAGACTGCAGGTGGTTTTTATTTTCTCGGCAGCCTAAAATTGTCGTCTTATTATTTAGGAAGAATAAATCAAGCATAAAATTTCACATAAAATAACACGATTTGGTTGGAGAGGTTACGAAAAATATTTTGCACATAATTAGATAATGCGTTGTTTGATTGGTCAATCAGAAAAAGACTATACTTGCATAACTTATACTAACAATTGATCAGCACTATCAAATACTCACATTGCGAGAATTTATGTATTGGTTTTTATGAAATAAAAATTTGTTTTAATAATAAGAAATTAAACTATTTTAAGACAAAAATGAGCTTAGAGCCGGTAACATCTAATAACTTCCCTTAGCAATATTTTCCCATTTCAATCTACATAAATATTATCCCTATATATATTCTAGGAGTGTCAATGGATATTTAAAAACCGACTAAACTGACCGAACCGTACCGCACCGAACTGATTTTTAGGTTTCTTTTAACAAAACCATAGGTTATTATATAAATCTATAACCGTACCGATAATTAGGGTAAGTTTTTTATTTTACGAAAATAAGCCGAAAAAATACAGAACCGTACCGAATAATTTTATATGTAAAAAATATATTTATATATTAAGTTTAAAAATAATAAAGCATTAATTTTTTTTTTGGGCCTTGGAATTTTGAAAATGGTTACAAGCCAAAAAGTAATTAAAATCAAAATCCTAATTTCCAAATCTATTATGCCACTCTTACTGAAACTATATTATTTCCAACATATTCACTAGCAAGACACAAAATATTCTAACGATTATGAGTAGCAAATTACAATTTATTGAATATGTTTTTCGTATGATTTAGATTTATCTTTTTGAATATTTAATCTTCTGTAGCCTTTATTCTTGAGTACCAGCTTGGTTAATATCTTTTTACTAGTGTGATTTATCTTTTCTTTGTTTCTTTTACGCTGTTATAGAGTAGTTGATGGATCTATAACTCTAACCATCTTTCATGTTTCTTAATCATCACCATCTATTATAGCCTATTTGGCCAAGCTTCTCCAAACGTAGAAGCACTTTTTTTCCTTTAAAAAAAGTACATTTTTCAACGTTGAAGTGTTTGGCCAAGTTTTTGGAAGAAAAAAAAATGCCTTTGAGAAGAAGCCGAAGCAGTTTTGGCGAAGCAGAAAAAAATATTTTCTCCCCAAAAGTACTTTTTTGAAAAACACTTTTGAAAAAAATACACTTAGAAGTACTTTTTAAAAAATTTTGCCAAACACTAATTGTTGCTCAGAAGTGCTTTTCAAATTAATTAGCCAAACACAAACTGCTTCTCACCAAAAGTACTTATGAGAAAAGCACTTTTGAGAAAAAGTACTTCTCAAAATAAGCTAATTTTATAATATTTTCCAAACATGCTATTAAACAGTAAAACTGTCTAAAGAGTTTTGCTAGTTCTTAAAAAAGTACGTATAGTATTGTATTCTACTTTTATTAGTGACATTTAAAAAAATACGAAAAATTAACCGAACCGTACCGATACCGAGGAGAAATCGACATGATTGGAACTGTTTTGAAAAGTCTAATTTTGGTTATACATAATAGAATAAAAAAATTAATATAGTACAAATTTTATAAAATAACTGGCTGAACCGAACCATTGACACCCCTAATATATTCAAGCGTTTGCTCGGGTTGGAGCCCTAGAACAGAGCGAAGTGCAGCAATAGCCACTTTTAGGCTCGCTATTTAAAATATGTCCATAACTTACAATATGTTTAAAGATTAGTCAATTTACCCAAACTTTAGAACTAAATATCTTGAATTTGGAAATTGAGGACTTGTGTTCTGAACTTTTGAGCTGCTAATTTGAAATTCAGGACTAAGTATCTTGAATTTCTGAACAACTAATTTAAAATTCACGACATAAGATTCGATATTCTGAACACAATTTTTGAACTTTAGGACATGATGTCTGAAGTTTGAACTTTGAGGTTTAAACTTGAGGACGCCATGTCCTGAAGTTTGAGCGAATTTGGCTAATCTTTAAATACATTGTAAACCGTAGATATATTTTAAACAACATGCTTAAAAGTAGCTACTTGGTGTCATTAAGTGCACATATAGCCATTCTCAGGGATGCTATTTAGAAATTAGCCAGTATTTATCTCGTCCTGAAATTTTAAACTAAAAATCTCAGTTTCAGAATAACTCAGGATATTTTTATCCTGAAAAATTGAACTAAAAAACTGAACGGAAAAACTGATATTCAATATGCACTAACTAATTCTTACATAGTAGCTCTATAGAGTGGCTATAGTCGGGCCCAAGTGAATACTGTTACGCTAGGTGGGAAAGAATTTTAATTATTTTTGGCGCATTACAGTAAACCAAAATTACTGTGGAAGACGGGATTTAAAAGAGACAAAGTGGTGCACTGCAGAGTGCACGTGACCCAAAATCATGGCGTTTCTGGCAAAAATGACGGCTCTAGAAGTAGTAACATGATCAATCATCCATCGTTAAAGAAACAGAAAGTGAGAGTCACTGGAGTTGAAGAAACCCTAGACGACCGTATCAGTCAATTGCCGGACTCACTCCTAGTTCAAATTCTCTCTTTATTGCCGACAAAGGATGCTTTCACAACCTGTATCCTCTCAAAAAGATGGCACTATCTTTGGACTTTTGTTTATAATTTTATTTTCACTCGTAGAAGCCAGGAATCAAAAATCTATGGAGATCCTTATAACCCCGTAGTGCCCATGGATGATACTAGTAGAAGACATAAATTTGAAAACTTACGATCCTTTATTGACTATGTGTTAGTTCATTCTATTTCTCCCAAAATTAAAAAATTCGAACTCGACTGCAGAGACCTATTCCGAGACGATTCTCAAATTAGACGGTGGCTTAGTTTTGCTGCTGAAAGAAAAGTGGAAGATGTTGTATTCTTGTCGTATGAAAGTCTACTAGATTGCATATTGCCTGAATCTTTCTGCACCTGTTCGTCGTTGATAACATTACATTTGAGACATTGTTACTTTACAGATGCAGTCATAGCGTGGAAGTCTCTAACGAGCATAAAGCTGGAGTGTTTGTTGTTAAACGATGACGAAATTTTAAACTTATTATCAGGCTGTCCTGCACTGGAAACTATGGAATTATATGATGTTGGGGGATTTCGCCGCCTGAAAATTAGTTCTTCAAAATTCAAGAGACTGAATTTGAAAAAACATTGGTTGCTTAATGATAACAATGATCGTTCCTTGGAAATTTTTGCCCCGTATCTTCAGCATTTGGAGATTTCAGGAAATCTTAAAGATATCAAGTGTAGGCTTGTCGATGTGTCCTCCATGGTTAATGCTAAGCTTACTTTCAACATTGCATGTATCAAAGACATACAGGCTGATCGCTATGAAATTGTTGATGAAGAAGACAATTGTCATGGTTATCATCAAGGTTTTAGGACCCTTGTCCAAGATTATCTTCAAAAGTTGAGTTGTGCAACTGAGCTAACATTCGGATGTTGGTTCACAGAGGTTTATTTTTAACTCAGAAGTCCTTAAATATACTTGTTTGTGTTTTTTGAATTGTTGGTCTAAACTTGACACTGTAAATAATAAAGATCAAATAACACTAGGCCAGGTCCATACTTCTTTTTGGCGGATCGTTATCTTGATCCGATACTTTGTGAACAAAATCGAGGTGATACCGTTCACCATCGACCATATTATCCGATTGTACCGTCCTCGACTTTTTCAAAGAGAGTTAATAAAACATCAGCGTCAGGCTACCAAGGCTCTGTTCTCGAGCATTGACGAGGACATGGATCGGGGCTGGATGGTCAGGTTCGTTCGAGTGAGGACTTTAGACCTGATTCCGACCGAAAAGATGCCCTTTCCCGAGGAGTAGAATATGAAACGTAAGTGTGATCCTGCTGTTACTTCCTTCTATTTTGTTCTTTCATTTCTTTTCTCAGCGATGCTCTTCTTTTTGTGATACAGCGGTTCCCTGGATGCCCAGAGCAGTTCCCGATCTCAAGAACTGGGTACGAGCTCTTGTTTCGACCTCCACATACACCGAGCGCTCATGGCGTGATTTGTCAAAGGGTCGGTGGGAGGCCAAAAATCATGGTAAGCCCCTTTCTCGTACTCTTTGATAATTCAAACGAGATGCTTTCCCAATATTTTAATAAAATTCTCCATATGCAGGTTTGGGCAAAGATGCGGTTTTGAGGCCCTTATCCAACAAGGAAGAAACTTTGGCTTTTGTCCCAAAGCCGGTGAAGGAAAATAAAAAGAAAAGAGCCTCTGTTCCCGAAGATCCAAAACCGAAGAAGAGGATGGCTCGTAAGCCGAACAAGAATGCCATTCCTTTGACCATGGAATCAGTTCTGCGTCTAAGGGATAAAGATGAAGAAGAAGAAAATGATGGGTCCGCGCTGGCGGCACGAACGAAGAGAACCACCGATGCCCCATCGGCAGCTGGATCGATGATGCTTCATGAGGCTCTGCCTCGAACTGAGGATAAACCGGAGAAAGATTCAGGCGAAATCCCTGAATTATCGTAGATCGAAGACGCATCCCATCGGAGCCAACGGATGGGGGATATGTCTGAAGGGACCCCTCTTGAATCCCTTCGAACCGAAGAGAATGCTCCAAGTGATTCATTTGGGACAACAACAATCAAATATTCGCCCGCCTTTCCTGTTTTTTCTGCAGGGGTGATTCGGGAAGCCCAAGCTTTGGGGGCCTTCAATCTAGACAGGCCTCATGATGGAGAGGATCCCTTTCGTGACCTATTACCAGTATCGAGGACGTTGCCAGTACTAGTGATAAATCGGATCTTTTTCACGGGGTGCAGCATGCTTTGAATCAGGTAAGCCTTAAAATTATTTTATCGGTACTACCTTTATGTTTACTTTTCGTTTCTAACTTTGTTTCTTGTTTCTTTGCAGGCAGCGGTAGTTCATCGAGAAGCATGTTCTCGGTCCCAAAACGAGTTGCGTCGATACAAGGCCGACCTTTAACGGGTTACTGATGAGAGGAACTCCCTAAAACTTCTCTTAGGACAAAGGGAAGAGGAAATAAAAGACCTCCGAGCTGAGTTGGCTAAGACATACCGAGATCAGACCGATCTATCTGAGCAAGTAATGATACTTTTAAAAGCCTATGGGATTGATACCGAAACGATGGCTAATATTTCGGTCTCACAGTTGCAGCAAAAAAAATGATATGATCGGGAAGCTTCGTGAGGAGGTCGACGTGATAAAAGCGGAGTCTTTGCAGCGGAAAGAAGGTATGGATCGCTTTGCTGCAGAGAAAGAAACTGCTTGAGCCCAGTTATCATCGGCCGAAACCCAACTTTAGAGAATAAAGTAAAAAGGCCTAGTTCAAGCAAGAAGAATAGAGGAGCTCGAGGCTCGATTGGCCTCTGTACTTGCCAAGGCCGAATCTGATGTCGAAAAGGCAAAGGCCGATGCGGATGCACTCGTGGCCGTCTATCAGGCCTATGCTGAAGCTGCCCAGGTCCAAGCAAGAGAGGCAGCCGAGACCGCCGATACTTGAGCACATTGGGTCGCTGAACTTGCTAAGTGCCAATCTCGGAGGGAAACCCTCGAGGAGATCCATGCTCGTGGTTTCAACCTCGCTGAAGAGATAAAAAGGGCCAAAGAACTCAAAGCCGATGCTGAAGCCTTGGTTTCCGATGACGATGATGATGACAATGATGATGACGATGGTAGTAAGAGCGGATCCGAGAATGGGGGGAGCCTGATAGAGAAGAGACCGCTCTTGGGGATGACCAGGAAGCTTAGTCCTTAATTTTTACGTTGTGATCAATCATGTAAACAATTTTGAATATAGAAATATCCCTTTTTTTGCGGACTTGCTTCTGTTTTGTTTCCGGTCTTGTGAAGACTTTATTCACATCTTATGAATGTTTTCACAAGGATTTAAACAACTTAATCAAATTTGGACTTCGTAGCCTCTATAACCGAGCGAGCGCTTATTCAAACTTGAAGTGATGTAGCCCTTAGGCTTATTAGTTGAGTCAATGATTCAAGCTCGAAGAAATATAGCCCGTAGGCGTAATGGTCGAGTGAGTGCTTGCTTGAACTCGAAATAAAAGTAGCTGGTAGGCTTAGTAGTCAAGTGAATGATTCGAACTCCAAGTAATGTAGCCCGTAGGCGTAATGGTCGAGTGAGTGCTTGCTCGAACTCGAAATAAAAGTAGCCCGTAGGCTTGAACTCGAAGTAATATATCTCGTAGGCGTAACGGTCGAGTGAGTGCTTGCTTGAACTCGAAATAAATGTAGCCTGTAGGCTTAGTAGTCGAGTGAATGATTCGAACTCGAAGTAATGTAGCCCGTAGACATAATAGTCAAGTGAGTGCTTGCTCGAACTCGAAATAAAAGTAGCCTGTAGGCTTAGTCGTCGAGTGAATGATTCGAACTCGAAGTAATGTAGCCCGTAGGCATAACGATCGAGTGAGTGCTTGCTTAAACTCGAAATAAAAGTAGCCCGTAATCTTAGTGGTCGAGTTTATCTTAATTCTGTTTGCGTAATAAATCTCCAAATATAGGAATGTTTCTTGGATATAAGATGTCGGTAAAGAGGAGAACGTTTTCTGTAAGTCATTATACATTTGTTCATGTTTTGCGTCTGGGTTCGGGCCAACTACATGAGCATGGTTCGTTTTGACCATTTGGCTCTTACAGCGTTTTCTATTGGAACCCCGTTGTTGCGAAATAACTTTCTTGCATCAGAACTTGATATATTTGAGGGCTAATGCACACCCAGTATTCGAGCTCGATTGTAAAGAGGCCTCGGATACTATTGTAAGTGCATCACGATCATTGGTTGCCTCATTAAAAACTTTGCCGAAAAACCCATTTGGGATAAAATCGGTCTAAGGGAAAAAGAGTGCAACGCGTGCTTCATATCTAAGACTTCGTATTGAAGGATCCATCTTAGCTCCTGATCGGACTTCTGCAGGGGTTAGTTTTGAAATGTAAATGAATATGGTAGGGTCGTACCTTAGCAGTAGTATCGTTTTAGATATGACACATTCCAATTGCTTGATAGTTGTTTGTCGTTTATAATGCCGAGCTTGTGTGATCCCTTTCCGACGTTCTCGAGAACATGATATGGTTCTTCCTAGTTCGGTCCTTGTTTTCCTCTGTTCGAATTTCTAGTATTCAGGGTGACTTTCCTTAGCACTAAGTCCCTGGGCTTAAAATGGCAGAGCTTGGTTCTTCGATTATAGTATCTTTCGATTCGTATCTTTTGGGCAACCAATCGGACGAGAGCAGCTTCTCGTTTTTCGTCCGATACTTCGAGGCTAGTGTCCATAGCCTCGTTATTTGATTCTTTATTTGTGTATAGAAATCTGGCACTTGGTTCATCGACTTCGACTGGTACCAAGGCTTCTGACCCATATACTAATTAGGATGGGGTTGCCCCCGTACTAGATTTTGACATTGTTCGATATGCCTAAAGAACTTCGGGTAGGATTTCTCTCCACTTTCCTTTAGCGTCGTTCAACCTCTTCTTTAGGTTTTGAATGACAGTTTTGTTCGTTGATTCGGCCTGTCCGTTCCCACTGGGGTGATACGGTGTTGATAATATCCTTCTTAATTTGTGATCTTCAAAGAATTTCGTCACGTTGCTGCCAATAAATTGTTTCCCATAGTCACATACTATTTCGGTAGGTATCCCGAATCGACATACGATATGATCCCAGATAAAGTCTATAACTTCTCTCTCTTTTACTTTCTCGAACGCCTGTGCTTCAACCCATTTAGAGAAATAGTCAGTCATAAATAAAATGAATTTAGCTTTACCTGGGGTCGACGGTAGAGAGCCGACAATATCCATTCCCCATTTTATGAATGGCCATGGGGATAGGACTGAGTGAAGTTGCTCTCTGGGTTGATGGATCATTGGTTCAAACCTTTGACATTTGTCATATTTTCGAAAAAATTCCTTCGCATCTTTGCCCATATCGATCCAATAATACCCTGCCTAGATTATTTTTCGGACTAATGGATCGGCATCGGAGTGATTCCCACAAATGCCCTCGTGCACCCCACGTAGGATGTAATCGGTATCTCCTGGACCCAAGCATACTGCCAATGGTCCATAGAATGTCCTTCAGTATAACGTTCCATCTGAAGCCAACGTGAATCGAGCAGCTTTAGTCCGTAGGGCCCTTGAATCTTTAGGGTCTGATGGGAGCTTTCCGTCTTTAAGTATTCAATATACTTATTTCTCCAATCCCAGGTTAAGCTCGTAGAATTTATCTCGGCGTGACCTTCTTCGATCACGGATCTCGAGAGTTGAACGACAGTCCCCGAGCTCAAGTCACCTTCCTCGACCAATGATCCCAAATTCGCTAGTGCATCAGCCTCACCGNCTCGGCCTCGTTGTTAGTCAACCTAGTAGTTTTAATAGATTGCCTAATAGTGTTACCCGTGGGTTGATTTAAAACTATTCCTAGCCCGGACCCCTTCACGTTCGAATCCCCGTCCGTAAAAAGGGTCCATACCCCCGATGACGTACCCGATTTCAACAGGAGTTCTCTTTTGACTTCGGGTACGAGGGTTGGCGTGAAATCGGCTACGAAGTCTGCTAAAATTTGAGACTTGATGGTTGTACGGGGTTGATATTCGATATCGTACCCACTGAGTTCAACGGCCCATTTGGCCAATTGGCCTGATAGTTCGGGCTTGTGCAAAATATTACAAAGCGGGTAAGTGGTTAATACACATATGGGGTGACATTGAAAGTACGGTCTTAACTTTCTAGAGGCGCTTATCAGTGCAAGTGCCAATATTTCTAGGTGCGGATATCTAGTTTCTACTTCTCCTAAGGTCCGACTTATATAATAAACGGGAAATTGCGTACTTTGCTCTTCCCGAACTAGGACACCGCTTACTATGATTTTCGATACTGCCAAGTACAAGCAAAGTTTTTGGTATGTTTTTGGAGTATGAAGTAGTGGTGGGCTCGATAGATATCGTTTTAGTTCCTCTAATGCATGTTGGCATTCCGGGGTCCAAGCGAAATCGTTTTTCTTTTTGAGTAGAGAGAAAAAATTGTGACTACGATCTGATGACCTCAAAATGAATCGGCCTAAGGCTGCAATCTGTCCCGTTAGCCTTTGTATATCTTTCACGCTGTCCACGATGGTGATGTCATCGATGGCCTTAATTTTATCAGGGTTAATATCGATTCCCCGATTTGACACCATGAAGCCGAGGAACTTGTCCAAACCGACCTTGAAAGCACATTTTTCGGGGTTGAGCTTCATGTTGTATTTCCTTAAAATCTTGAACGTTTCCTGCAAATGGGTCAAATGGTCCTCTACGCGCAGGGACTTAACTAGCATGTCATCAATATATACTTTCATTGATTTACCCATTTTTTCTTCGAACATTTTATTTACTAGGCGTTGGTAAGTAGCCCCTGCATTTTTTAGCCCGAAGGGTATCACATTATAACAATATGTTTCATATTTGGTGACAAATGAAGTCTTTTCCTAGTCCTTCGGGTTCATCTGGATTTGATTATACCCGGAATAGGCATCGAGAAAAGTGAGGATCTCGTGGCCGGTCATGGCATCGATCATGCGATTGATGTTGGGCAACGGAAAAGAATCTTTGGGGTATGCTTTGTTCAAATCCTTATAGTCCACACACATTATAAGTTTGTTCCCTTTTTAGGCACTACAACTACATTGGCTAACCATTCGGGATATTACATTTCCCAAATGAACCCTATCTTGAGAAGTTTGGTTACCTCGTCCTTTATGAATGCGTGCTTTACCTTGGACTGGGGTCTTCTCTTTTGCTTCACCAGTCTGAACCTAGGGTCCAAGCTTAGCCGATGCGTCGTTATGTCCGGTGGGATCCATGTTATATCTAAATAGGGCCAGGTAAATCAATCAATGTTATCGATAAGAAATTAAATAAATTTCTTCCTGAGTTTGGGGCTCAACCCCGTTCCCAGGTATACCTTCCGTTCGGGCCAATGCTCAAT